CCCCAAAACCCCAAAACCCCAAAACCCCGTCAATACAAACAAATATTGAAAATTATTTTTAATTAAGAATACACAGCTTTCACTTATTATTTAAGCAATTTGGCCAGCACTTTTAAGCAAGCTCTCTAACCCTGAAACGAAGGAATATGAATATTATAGAGATAGAGGACACTCAGAATGATCAATTGGGTTCAGGAATCATGCAACAGAAGAAAGAAGATATGATCAAGCTGCAGTACTCTCAAGATAACCAATTAGCTTTTGAGAAACCCGACTATTTTCAGAGAGATAATCCTCAGTACAATTTGACCGATGACTTGATCTTCCAACCTTTCTCGCAGGAGTACAGAGCAAGAAATGCAAATGAATTATATGCAAGATTAAATTGTGGATTTTCAAGCCCATCTGAAGAAGATGACCCTGATGAACATGAATGTGACTGCCCTTCTCAAATTAATTTTGAAGGGATGAACTATATCAAGGGTCTAACAAGGAAGGATCATACTCTGTTTGAAAAGCATTTTTATTATTGACATGACAAAGGAAGGATCAACTGTCAATCGAGACTGGTTTACAACTCGAAGAACAAATTCATAAAGCTTATAACTCCTCATAATAAAGCTTTGAGTGAACACCAGCTACACAAGATAGAAACTGCAATTAAATTCAGAAGGAATAGGACTGTTGAGGGATTCATCTCTGAATATGACATTAAAGAAATTGATGAGATTATATCAAAGCTATTGATCCAGAATAGGCATGTAACAGTTTCCAACCTGAAGATATTCCTTAGCTCGAAGATAGCCATTAATCAAACACTTCCTAGTGATCAGGATCTTAACCAAAGGCTAAATGAGATTTATAAAAAGCTTTATAATTCAAAGGACCAGATATGAGAAATATCAACTCTTACATGTGATGATTTTGGGAAGCCGCCATTGTTATTTTATAACAACACAACGAGAAAGGCAGAAAAAGCATATGTGTTTTATTCCAATCCCTTCCAGACACATCTCATAGAGACTAATGTAAGGATTATTGGCAAACTTTATAGAAAACATTGCAGAAATACCAAATTGATTTACTAAGTAAAGCTGCTCCTGAAGGATTTGAGACCGTTCTCATCATATCTATTCAAGATATGCAGACCAGAAGTCCGATCTGTGTATATTTCGCACTACTTGAGACCAAAACGAAGGTAACATTTTAGTATTATTCATAGGATTCTTTAGTAGAAGTATTCAAGTCTTTCAAGAAGAATATGAAACCAGACCCAGCACTAATCGTCTCTCCATATGAAGCCACCGTATTAAGCGCTCTAGCTGAAGCCTTTCCTCAATGAGTTGTCAAAACTTGTTACTTCAACTATGTGAAGAGCATCTGGAAGCTTGCATGCAAGTTTGGTCTTAAAGAGCAATCTTTAGTAAATCGAACAAGAGGTCTAATAAACTACCTCAAAGTGTTGTCCTTAGTTAAAGAAGAGAAAATCAGGAATAATTACGATAAGAAGAAAAAGAAGATTTTCGAATGTCCTCAGGATGAAAACTCCAGAAAATACAAAGACTTTCTCATGGAATATGAGAAGACCTTCATGGCTACTAATGTCGAAAGACAAGTCCGGAGAAGCCATATCAACTGCTTCTCAATGAAGTCATGGAACTTCTATGATTACACTAAGAATTTGAAAGAAAATGCTTTGATAAATTCTTATGCTGAGAGGATGACCTTTACTCAGTTGAAGTTTTTCTGATACAAAACAAAGACTTTGGACAGCTTCATCAAAGCCATTCAAGAATGCGAATTCTCGATGAAGGAATTTTATGAGAAAGAGTCAAAGAATCTCCAATCCAACCAAAGAGATATCTTACCTAAAAATTTATACGATAAGAAGTGGGCTAAACGTGTAGGCACTGAAACTGTGTTCATGATCAGATACTTTGGCCTTGGTAAAGACTTCCTTCGTAAATTCAGAACTGAAGAAGACCTGTTTTATATATCAGAAGATGAGGATGCTGAAGAACTCAAGCAGAAAGAGAAGCCTGAACCTATCAAATCAGTGAGCAGGAATGTTAATCCTGAAGATAATGTTCGAACTGAAGCCCAAGAACGATCAAAAGCTTCATTTCCAAGGAAAAGATGGTATAGAAACAACGCTTATTCAGGAAGAGGAAGATACAGAGGTTATGGCAGGAGAAACTGGTATAATAGAGGATATAAGAACAATCGATATGGCTACAAATACAACAAAGGCCCTCGAAATTGGAAAAGAAATAACAACTTCAAAGATAATAAAATTCCTAAAGTTTCTCCCAAGGATGAATCTTCTTCTGAGTCAAATCCTAGAGAAGAAAAAGTTATTATTGAAGAAAAATCTTTACCTAAGAAAATTGAAGTTCATACAATTGAAACACAAGATGATATGTCGCAAGTTGTAAAGCAAAAGGCTCCAGAGAAAATTCAACCTGAATCGATCAGCGATGATAAATCAGAAGCATGATCTGAATCAAAAGAAGAAAATAGCCAAGATAGCTTCAAGAGGAGAAGGTACAAAAAAGATGAATTACTCCAAGAAGCACGAAAGGAATCTCCCAAGCCTATTGCTAAAACATTGACTCCTATGGAAAAGATCAGAAAAGTCCTCAAAGAATACAACTGTGAAGACTTCATAAAAATTCTTCAAGAAGATAATATTACTGATGAGAAAGCTTTGAGGATGAACATCAAAGAACTAAAGAAACTAGGGTTACCTGCTCAGCCTTCTCGTCAGATATTTCAAGTTCTTCATTCAGACAAGCCTGTGAATCCTACTCCGAAACCAATTTGCATCAACACTCAAGAAAGTATTGCACAAAATCTCAATTCTTATCAATACACAGAACAGCCAAAGCCAAACGCCAAGCACAAAACCTTAAAACTTCAAAAAGAATCCATGCACAAAATAAACACTCCTTTGGAAAGACTCAAGAGCCAGTCCCAGATCAGGAGGGAAAAGTTTAAGGAAAGAATGGGATTTACGAAGCAGAAGAGGAAGAGGTATAATAAGCAGGAGATTAAGATTATTACCAGTTATAAACTTGATAGTTGATTGAAGAAGGCAGAAGGACTGAAAATGAAGAAGAAGATTGATTTTAGAGAGAAGGTTAGGAAAAGTTTGCAAAAGGATTGTACTGCTAAATCAAGGCCTAGGAAAAGGAAAGCATGACTTAATCCCGAGAATGAAGATGAAGCTGTTAGCCTGAAATGCTTCTCAGAGAACAGTAACTGAGAAGCTAATAAAGATAAGAATCAGGAATCTCAGTTTTTGAGTGGTCCAGATTATAGCAAAACAACAAGAGTCGTTAAGGATGAAGAAGAATATGATACCCAAAATGAGTACGATGACAAACACCACTCTCAAAGTTCACATTTAGAAGAAGAAAAGAGTGTCAAGATGAGTGATGTTGAAGAAGACACTTTCTTGCCAGCAAAATCTACTATAAATACTCAAGGCTCAGATAATGAGCCCAAAATACAGCCAATTGTACCTAAAATAGAAGAGTCTACTCAAGGAAAGCATCCTGGATTTTATTCAGAGTCTTCAACTCAAAGCAACCAGCTAAATCAGAATAAGCTAAAATCCTTTGAAAACTTAATAAACCAGACTTGATCAGAAACAGAAAACTTCCAAAACCAAAAATCATATCTTAACAACATTGGCACAAAAGTAACCACATGAGAGACCAAAATAAACTCTTCAAACAGTGGCACACAGATAAAATCCACAAAACAGAGCGTATTCAAGACAAAAAGGCACTTAAAGGCCCATTCTCCTAAGAAACTCACACCTCTCCAGCCCTCACCAGTTCCAGCAAAGCCAGCTCTCACTCTCAACAACTCAGCTACCAAACCCAGCCAATCCTGAGCTCCATCCCAAAAGCAGCAGCCTCTTGAAACCCCTCATGTCGCTCAATCCCAAGAAGACTCAGATAAAATCTCAAAATACAGCTACGATAACTCTCAGAGTACCCAAACAGGCCGTAAGACCCAAAGTCTGACTGCCAAGCTCAAACTCTCCAAAGAATTAGAACAAATGAATAACAAAGGGGAACCTTCAGATAGGCTAAAAGCAGTAATGAAGTCCCTCATCACCAAGCTGAGGGTACAAGACAAAGGCAATACTTCTGAAGATCGTATGAAGAAGTATAGGAGGCCTTACCACCAGAACTTCGCACAAGGGGAGGAGAAGAAGTATGACCCCAAGCAGAAAGCAGCTAATAGGTTTAGGAATAAGAACAGAACTAAAGCTACGGTCAAGGTTAAGCATACTTTAAAGATAAAGGAATAATTTTTAAATATGAGATCTTTGGAAGGGGTTTTGGGGTTTTGGGGTTTTGGGG